AGGAATCAAACCCAGGGCCTCATGCATGCGAAGTAAGCACTCTACCACTGAGCCACCTTCCCAGCTCCAAGAATTTCTTATTTGAGTTCCATCTCCCAAATTTATCATTATCAAAGTGCAGGCCCAATATATTATTTTGGATAATGGTTATTTGACCTACATCTATCTGTTGATCCATTTATGGGTATGTAATCTCCATTAAAGTGAAGTAGATAGCTAAATGGTTGTAAAGAAATTGATCTATATTCTAGAATTACTCAAAATTATCCAAGAGCTGAAGATGGTGTCTGAGAGGAAGGAAGTAGCATGAACCAGGAATCAAGAGACCTAGATTCTGGTTCTAGTTTTTCATGGATTGGCTGATTTAGGTCACATACCTATTTGGAACTCTGTGTGTGTGTGCGCGCGCGCATGTGTGTGTGTGTGTGTGTGTGTGAGAGAGAGAGAGAGAGAGAGAGACAGAGATGGAGAGAGACAGAGAGAGACAGAGAGACACAGAGAGACAGAGAGACACAGAGAGACAGAGGGACAGAGAGAGACAGAGAGAGAAAGTTAGCTAGTTAGTTAATTTTGGGGCTTGAACTCTGGACCTGGTACAGTTCTTGAGTAGTTTTGCTCAAGGCTAAAGTTCTAACACTTGAGTCACAGCTTTACTTCAGGTGTTTTGGTGTTTACTTGGAAAAAGAATCTCACAGACTTTCCTACTGGGCTAGCTTTGAACCGTGATTCTCAGATCTCAGCCTCCTGAGCAGCTGGTATTATAAATATGAGCCACAGGCACCCAGCTTAAAAACCTATATAGTGGAAGTGTTGAGGAAGATCTTAAATTCCTCTCCAACTCGAACATTTTATGTACACTTCTAGGTTTACTTTTGAGTAAATACCAAGAAGGTGAAGCCAGAAAAGAAAATACATAGTCATGGCCTAGAAGAGGTGTCTACAAATTTCCAGAGTGAAAATTGGTGGCTGACACAGTTTTTGAGGGGACAGAGAATTCTACCACCTAACTTGACTCACTATGGCCAAGTCTGAAAGAAAGTTCAGGAATATATATATATATATATATATATATATATATATATATATTTGTGAAAATACCATACAGAGGGGTTACATGAGCAAGGTAATGAGTACATTTCTTATCAAGCATTGTTGCCTCCTCCTTTATTTCTCCTTACCAGAGTGGTGAGAAAGCTCTTCATAATAACCCTGAATCTCCAGTGACACATCCTGTGAAGTTAGCTGGCAGTCCCTAAGGCTACAATTGAAGAAGAACACAGATTCATTTAGACAGGTAGCTCTGGGTCTGGAAGGCTCTAACTGGGCTGCAGTACATTCTGACTTGTGCCAATTTATCCTCATTAGAAGGCCAAGTACCCCGAGGAACTGTAGAAGGTATTAATCTTGACAAGTCTATGGTTATATATAAAATCTTAGGTTTGAGAGGGATTTGGTCATCATCTAGTCAATTTCTATTCCTGTATCTCTGTACGTACATTTTTCTTATTTCCAGTTAATTATTTATTAAACCAAATTTGTCTGTACAATGTATTTCTTTAAAATTTACATCCTAAAATTTTAATATGTAATAGTGCCATATAGTGCAAATATTTTTATTTTCATAATTATTAAAAAAGTCAAACAGAAAATGGGAAGACTAGTACTGTTAATCATGTAATCTTTACCTAGTTTCATTTTTGGTAATAATGGACACATTCTACTCTCTCTCTGTTTCTCTCTGTCTCTCTCTGTCCCTGTCTGTCTCTGTCTCTGTCTCTGCCTCTCTCTCTTTTTCTCTCTTTGAATAAACAATCACTTATTTTGTACGGAGACATTCCTAAGTACTTCTCATATGCCTTCTAAGAACAAGGACAATTGCCTATATAATTGCGATGCCATGATCATACCCAAGAAATGTAACACACAATGATATTATCTAATGTGTCTTTTACATCCAAATAACCCCAGGTAACTTAATTATGTCTTCATAGTTATTTTTCAAAAGTCTCTGATTAGCTGGGCATGGTGGTATCTCTCTCTCTCTCTATCTAGATATCTAGATTTTTATCTATACATCTATATATGTCTCTATAAATCTATCTATATATACCTATATATCTAGATATATCTATACCTATATATCTATACCTAGATATATATACCTATATATATATCTAGGTATATGTATATCTATATATACCTATATATCTAGATATATCTATATATATATATATATATATATATATATATAGGTATATATCTAGGTAGATATATATATATACCCCTATATATATATAGGTATATCTATCTATAGATATCTAGATATCTATAGATATCTATATTATATCTATATCTAGATATCTATAGATATCTAGATATCTATAGATATCTATATTATATCTATATCTAGATATCTATAGATACAACCTATAGATATCTATAGATATCTAGATATAGATATAATCCATAGATATCTATATATCTCCCAGAGGCTGAGCAGGAAGAATTACATACTGAATTCTAGGCTAGCAAGACTCTATCTCAAAACAAACAGGTAAAAAATAAATACAAAGTAAAACAAAGTATCTACTAGTAAAGGACCATATGTGGCATGGCTGAAAGAGAGCAATAACTAAGATGGAATTCTCATTAATAGAGGTAACTTGAAGGGTGATATTATTATGATCATTGTGTCTTATGTCCATGGAGTTCATGATCAACATTGGGGTCTGAACTCAGAGCCTTGGGCTGGGTCCTCAGCTGGTCTACCATTACAACCACACCACAGCCCTTCTTGCTTTAGTTATTTTTCAAATAGAGTCTTGCACTTATGACTGAGCTGGCTGGAGTGATCTTATGTATGTTTCCATAGCTGGAATGACAGGCATGCACATGACCTATATCATAATTTTTACATCTGTACACATCATGTCTACTACACAGAGATCAAGGTAGAGGCATTGAGCTGAGTGCTTGCAGTTCATGGCTGGAATGCTAGCTACTTAGGAGGCTGAGACCTGACTGAAGTTTGAAGCCAGACTGGGTACCAAGGTCTGTAAGATTTCATCTCCATTTAGAGGCCTGATTCAACTGACAGAGCACCAGTTGGGAATAACAAAGCTGAGTGAGAATGTGAGGCCATGAGTTCAAGCGCACACACACACACACACACACACACACACACACACACACACACACACACACAAATGATAGAACCAGTATGATTCTGTTTTCCTGCCTACTCTATACACCTATGCTAGGCAATCATTATTATACTTCTGATATGACCAATTCTGCGTTTCCTTAAACTTCTTATGCATGAAATTACATTCCAACTACCTAAAATTTTGTTTTGCTCAATATGACATCTATGAATTGTGTCTGTAATATTGCAACTACCAATGTTCAGTTTTAAACTACGAGCTGTGTTCTGGTGTGAATTTACTATATTTGCATTGTACATTGCATTATGCAATTTATCGACCCATTCTCTTGTTATAGGCATTTGAGGTATTTTCCATTTTGGCTAGTATGGATAAGGACGCTATTAATATAGTTTTGCTATAACCCCTTTGGCAAAGCGCATAGTTTCTCTAAGATGTGTGCCCAATTGTGGACTTGCTGGTACAGGGCATGCCTGTGTTTAGCTTTAGAATAGACTCACACTTTTCCAAGTAAGGAAAGTTTTTTATCCTTGCCTTCCACTTATAGGAGTTTCTGCTATTCTTACCTTGTTGCCATGTCTTGCTCTTCTTAAGCTTTCTAAATGTTTGATAATCTAGTTGTTATACTCTAGCTAGACTTGAACTTGTGTCCCATTATTTTCAACATAATGAAGTTGAACACTTTTTAATGGGATTTTTGAAGATATTCTTTAATGACATGCCTTTTCAAATACTTTGTGTGCAGTTTAAATTTGATCTGTTTTATACTTTTTGATTCACAGGAGCTCTTTATGTTCTGGATGCAAATCTCTCTCAGATGTAAAATAGAAAACAATTTGCTTAAAATTATTCTATGTGTTCACATTGTCTGACCTTGTACAATTTTTTGAAAAGGAAAAATAATTTATTGTTGGTCTGGATTAAGTGTCTTCCCAGACAGCAAAAGGTAGTGTGTTTTAGAAAAAAACAAAGAATTATTTTGGGACCTAGAACAAAGGAAATGTTTGGACAAGTGAAATGATTGTCTATAAATATTTATCCTCTTTTACATAGTCTTCCTTTTGGGTAGCTGGGCCTTACATAGAGGGCCTTTGTGTTTTGAGATAAGCCAGCAGGATCTGCTGGGGACTGGATGATAATTCAATTTTGTGGTAGTCATGACAGGATAGCAACATAGACCAAAGAATAGAAGCCAAGAACCTTAAACGTTTCCTATTTCAGAGTCCTAGAACTTTTAAGTCTATTAAGAATTGTTACTTTATTGCAATGGGGCAGTTGACATTAACCCACAAAAAAGCTTTTTAATGACTTCCCCAGGGGTGGACTGAAGTGGTTATAGAGGGGTTTGGGAGTGACTTTCCTAGATCTTAGTAGCACCCCCCACACCAGGCTATTGCCTGAGTTTCTTCTTGACATCCATATTCAGCTGAAATCTGACTGGATCAAGGGATAGAAGCCACACGACATGCACCCCCACTACCATTTTCTCCATGCCCATGGTTGAGATGGCTGTTGGATGGGTGAGTGCAGTTTGGGAAGTCTTCACCCATGAGGGGGGTTAAGCTGAGTGAGCCTGTAGGGTGGAGAGAGGTCAGTCAAGAGAGAAAGTTGGAAATATTAGAGACTGGGAGCCAGCTGAACAAAGGCCTTGGAGTTGGGAGTAGAATTGTATCCCCCAAAGCCATTAATATGAGTGATTTTATGCTGCACTGACGGAGAAGATGTTACAAAACATTTAAAAAAGATAACTCTAAGAAAATATGCCATCTGTTCTGTTAGAATATATGGTTGGCGAATAGCCTTCTGCATCTCAGCACTGCCTTCTTGTCATTACAGGGGAGCATGTTTAACACCTGGAAACCCATGTGGGTTGTACTATTAGAAGATGGGATTGAATTTTATAAAAAGAAAAGTGACAACAGCCCCAAAGGAATGATCCCCCTGAAAGGAAGTGCTCTGACTAGTCCCTGTCTTGACTTTGGCAAAAGGATGGTGAGTTGACATATTAGCTGCAGTGAACCAACCTTGTGTCCTTTGCTATCCTGCAGGTGAGCCATGCTCTCACGATCAGCCTTTCCTTGCGTTTGGGTGGCTGTTTGCTAGAATGGATTTGGACCAATTACTCTACTTCATGAAAGGCCTCCGCCCTTGAAAGGTCATTTCTAATAGGACATATTTCCATTTCCAGTTTGTGTTTAAGATCACTACGACCAAGCAGCAGGACCACTTCTTCCAGGCAGCCTTCCTGGAGGAGAGAGATGCTTGGGTGCGGGACATCAAGAAGGCCATTAAATGCATTGAAGGGGGCCAGAAGTTTGCAAGGAAATCCACAAGGAGGTCCATTCGTCTGCCAGAAACCATTGACTTAGGGTGATTTTTTTTTTGTGTGTGTGTGTTTGCTTCTAGCTACTTCTTCCTTCCCCCTCTCTCTTTCTCTCTCTCTTCCCTCTCCAAGGTTTACCTTGGCCACCTCTGAAGTTTGTACCCAGCTAGAGGGAGCTGGCACATGGAGGACTGAGATGTTTGAAAAAGGCCTAGGAGCTGAGTAGAGAAGCTACTACAGTATTAATTCCCTCATATTGCGGGAGAGAGAGAGAGAGAGAGAGAGAGAGAGAGAGAGAGAGAGGGAGAGAGAGGGAGGGAGGGAGAGGCAGAGAAGATATATAGAGAGATATAGAGAGAGAGAGGAAGAGAGAGAGGACTCTTCTTTTTGTTTATGAAGTAGATATAATAGTTTTTTTTTTGTCAGTCCTGGGACTTGAACTCTAGGCCTGGGTATTGTTCCTGGGCTCCTTTTGCTCAAGGCTAGCGCTCTATCACTTGAACCATAGCGCCACTTCTAGCTTTTCCTGTAATTAATTGGAGATAAGAGTCTCATGGACTTCCTGCCCAGGCTGGATTTGAACTGAGATCCTGATATCTCAGCTTCCTGAGTAGCTAGGGTTATAGGCATGAACTACTGGCACCCATCTTAGAAGTTAGTTTTGAAACAGTTTTAGGATCTCTAGGTAGCAAGGAGAATGTAGGGGCTATGTGTTTACACAGGCAAGGTTTTAAGTTCAAATTCACTCGCAAGTTCAGGATCACTCATAAGAATGGCTAGCCCGGTGGACAACCATTCTAGATGGAAGCCATTTGTTCCCTGACCTAGTGAATGACCTCTGATACTGCCTCTGTTGGAACTATAGGGATCATCTATCGCCTAAAAGTAATCAGAGGCCATGAAATTCAGCCCCTGACTGGAGGTGGGAGTAAGGTTCCTTCCTGTATATTCATCTCTTTTCTTGTCACAGGCTGCTTTCTCCAGGAAATCTCTTTCTCCCTGATGATTTTGCTTTTATGTTAAATGTACCCTGAAACAGAAACCCCATTGAGAAGAATGCCATGAGAGGGAATAGAGATACACCTTCTGTACACAGGACTGGGTGTGATTTAAGAAGGCAGTTTGTGAGTGAGAATACAGCTTCCCTCACTACAGATGTTTTCGAGAAAGACCCTAGAGGAGATAGCTAGTCCAGCTCCAGCTGCTAGATGAGGCCATCAAAGGAGCTCATTCCTGGTCAGGGCTGTCACACCTAAGTGGGAAGGATGCTCAAACTACATAGAACCAAAGGATTTATGAAAATGGTCTTCTGTTTTGTTGCTTGGAATGCTCAGATAGGCTACTTTTGGCTTACTAGTCCCAGGATAAAAACAAGAACTCCTGGGGCTGGGAAGGTGGCTCAGTGGTAGAGCGCTTGCCTTGCATGCATGAGGCCCTGGGTTCGATTCCTCAGCACCACATAAGCAGAAAAAAAAAGCCAGAAGTGGTGCTGTGGCTCAAGTGGTAGAGCGCTAGTCTTGAGCAGAAGAGCTGAGGGACAACGCCCAGGCTCAGAGTTCAGGCCCCATGACCGGATCCCCTCTCAAAAAACCCCCCCCAAGAACTCCTCAGTATTGTTTGCCTTATCTCATCCTTTTTTTAGATAAGTGATGGGAAGATGTTAACTTTCTAGGAGGCCATGTCTACAACAGATGCTCTCCGAAAAAAATTAAAAGAATGGGGGAACGCAATGGCCTTCCAATAACGTAATAAGTACCTAGGATATGTATAGGATAATCAATGGATAATTTTGGCTTGCAGTTTTGAAAGCTTCAATCTGTGGTCTGTTGCATCCATTGTTTTTAGGTCTCTGGTGATTATGGTGGGGTAGCATATCCTGATATGGTGTTGCAAAACTGTCCACATCATCATTGAGACAGGAGAGAGGGGAAAAAGAACATACCTCCAATGACCAAAAGAACTCCCACTAGGCTCCACCTTTTAGTTTCTACCATCTTCCAATAAATCTCAAGTCTTAGCTTGACACTAAGTCTTTAGGGGGCATTCCTGATCCAGACTGTAGCAGGTACCTTAAACATCTTGATTGTTCTTGGAGAATTGACCTTAACTGAGGGTGGCTCTCCAATTCAGGCACTAGAAATTCAATCAACAAAGAGCTAAATGAGTCTAAGGCATACTAAGTACCTTCCTACTACATTTTACTGAATGTACAGCATTGTGCAAATGAAAGTACCACTGATAGACTGGCAGAGATTAAGTTCAGAGGCCAGCAAGAAGCGAAGAAACAAAGTTTGTTCTCAGGGCAACTCTCCAAGGTAGCAACTGGCAGGGAGACCTCGCCATTCTGGAATGCTTCCCATTTATCCATCTGTTTTTATCTCTGTGCAGTGCCTTGTATTTGTCCATGAAAGACACTGAAAAGGGAGTAAAAGAACTGAATCTGGAGAAGGACAAGAAGATATTTAATCACTGCTTCACAGGTAGGAGAATTTGCTTTCCTGAAAGGGGCAACAGGGGAAGGATTATAATTTTTATTGTGATTGATTACATAAATTTCACAATTTTCACAGTATTGTGAAATAGTAATAGTTAAAGTCACAAACACATTCTAACCTCCATGAGGCAAGTTGTCATTACTGTGGTCTATAAAATTTGAGAATTCTTTTTTTTTTTTTGGGTCCGGTCGTGGGGCCTGAACTCTGGGCCTGGGCGCTGTCCCTCAGCTCTTCAGCTCAAGGCTAACGCTCTACCACTTGAGCCACAGCGCCACTTCCGGCTTTTTTCTGTTTGCTTATGTGGTGCTGAGGAATCGAACCCAGGGTCTTGAGCATGCAAGGCAAGTGCTCTACCACTGAGCCACCTTCCCAGCCCAAAATTTGAGAATTCTATGAGCTTTGACAATACAACTATTTCTTCCTCATAGAGTAGTATGTACATTTCTTGCCTTTTGCTTAGTGTTAGCTGTTCCCTGGAAAAAAAGATTTCTTTAAGAATGTTTTAGAAAAAAAAAGAATGTTTTAGATGAGAGAGAGACAGAGTGAGAGAGAGAGAGACTAATTTGGGGCTATGAGAGTTTGTCCAGCTGGGCACTGTGGTTTCTAGCTACTCAGGAGACTGAGATCACAGTTTGAAGGCAGTGCATGTAGGAAAAGACTGTGAGACCAGCAAAACAAACAAACAAACAAACAAAACAGTGCCTCCTCCCACAAGTTTTCCTAATGGCCAAAATAATGGCTGCCATTAACTTATCTTCATAGAGAAAGAAAGTGGGAAAATACCAGCACAATCATGTTCATTGCAGCATTATTTAACATAGCTAAGGATGGAACCAACCCAGATGTCCCTCGGTAGATGAATGGATCAAGAAGATGTGGTCTATATACACAATGGAGTTCTATGCTTCCATTAGAAAGAATGGCATTGCCCCATTTGTAAAGAAATGGAAAAACCTGAAAAGTTATATTAAGTGAAATAAGCCAGGTCCAAAGAAATATAGGTTTTATGGTTTCCCTCATTTGTAATAACTAGAATATGTCTATGTTATTCTTAGCAGGGGATCACAATAGCCCAATCGCTAAGTGCATAGGACCATATATAATGAAGCGTATCAAAATGAACTGCAAGAATTGGAAACAAGAGATTCTTATTATGTCCTGTATGCAGTTTTTTTCTAGCTTTTCTTTCTGTGTTAGTTTTCTGTAGCATTTGTTTTGTATCTAAGCTTATCTGATCTGTGGAAGGGAAAGGGGATCATAGACCAGAAGGACAAAGGATAAACTAATGCAGCCATTATGCTCACTAAACACTATGTTGGAAATAAACTTTAAGGAGTGGGGAGTGGGGAGTGGGAGAAGGTGAGGGAGAGGGTAGCCGTGTTGAAACAGAAATGTTCTCATTGCAGTACATAAGTCTGTACTCTAACCCCCATTCATCACTTTTACAATAATCTTTTTTAATAGGTAATGGGCAAAAACTTTTCATTTCTAGGATTCATAGGAGTCTCACATACCAAAAGCTCAAAGGTGACATAACCAAGTGCTCTTGCTTGAGTGATTGTCTGTCATTGGCTGCTATTTATTTATAAATTTACTATTTGTGGTGGTGGTACTAGAGTTTAAACTCAGGGTCTCACATTTGCTAGGCTAACACTGCCATCTGAGCCATGGTGCCAACCCCTTTATTTTGCTTCTACTATATTCTAGGTAGAATCTCCCTTTGTGAGAGGTCTCTTATTTCTGCCTCCTGCCTGCTCTGTTTGTCCTTTTGTCTTTTTTTTTCTAGTCATGGGGCTTGAACTCAGGGCTGGGCCCTGTCCATGAGCTTTATTGCTCAAGGCTAGTGCTCTACCACTTTGAGCCACAGCTCTACTTCTGGTTTTCAGGTGGTTAGTTGGAGATAAGAGTCTCATGGACTTTCCTGCCTTGGCTGGCTTAAAACCATGATCCTCAGATCTTAGTCTCCCAGTAGCTAGGAGTACCAGCATGAGCCACCAGCACCTGGCTCTGCTTGTCCTTGAATGTCATACTATTTACCCAAGCTTGCCTTAAACCCAGTACCACTATCTCTGCCTCCCAAGTAGCTGGGAACACAGGTATGAGCCAGTGTGCTCTGCCCCTATTAGCTACATTTGTAAAGAAATCACTGTAATAAGTACAGAGTTTTCTTTTGGCCTGCTAATGATCAAACTGCTGGATTTATTACATTTTATTCCTTTTGCTAGTCTTATTTTGAGGCAAGATATTGATTAAAGGACCAGGAAAAGAGGTGATGACAAATACAAGTACTGTCATTACACTTAAATTTAGGACACATAGACTATCATGTTACTTGCTACTTAAAAGCTGGCAATGACTCCTGGTTGCCAGACTTCTTAATGCACCATCAAAGCTCAGCCCAGGGACTTGGATCTTCCTCCTCTGGTCTCCTCCCCCATCTCCCTAGGGCTGCCGCCGCCTATGGGCATCTGTTCCCTTGACTACTATCGTGTTTGTGCCCAATCTTTGCATCCCCTGTCTTTCCTAGGTTTGTAAATATCCATTCATCTTTTAGGCTCCAGGCCATCCCTTCCTTTATGAACCTTTTCCTGACAGGGTAGAGGTATGACAGAGTCCTACTCTACCCACTCTCCCTTTTCAAACTTCAAATTTAACCCAGTAGTTTCACCCAGCATGGATTTGTTGCAGAATGCCTGTTGTGATACCAATTTACCACCATCTGCCTCTTTTAGAGTTCCTGAGTAAATGCCCATAGGGTACCCATTAGAGTACCCATATCTCTTAGAAGTCCAATATATGTTCCATAAGGAACTAAATATATGGGCTAGTGAAATTGATTTCTTTGATGCAAGAATGGCCTCTTAAGTAGCATGTGAATTTTTTTTAACCCTTTACCTTTTGTTTCCAAACATCCATGCCATTAACTGTTTTGTTTTTTTTTTTCCTCTTGGATTGACTGGGAAGATGAGACAAACTGCATGCTCCAATGCTCTGCAGCCAGTGTGGGGTGGTGTCCAGACTTATTCCTTGGGAAAGAGAGTGAATTTCCCCTCTTTTGGGCCCATCCAGGTAGCGGTGTCATCGACTGGCTGGTTTCCAACAAGTCAGTTCGGAATCGTCAGGAAGGCCTGATGGTTGCCTCATCGCTGCTCAGTGAAGGGTACCTGCAGCCTGCTGGCGAACTGTCTAAGAATGCAGCTGATGGAATCATTGAAAACCCCTTTCTGGACAATCCTGATGCCTTCTACTACTTTGTAAGGGAGAAAATCCACTCAGCTATTCTTCTTGTGGTGGGGGCTGCCCAGGGTAGACACTCCAATATTCTGAGAGTACAGAGCATGTCCATCCCTGCAGAGAATAGTTGGATGGGAGAGGAGGAGGTTGAGTAGAGCCCAGGCAGGGAGAAAGAGGAAATACTCTACATCTCCAAATCATGTGATGAAGCCCAAGGCCCCTGAGGCATATGCTACACCTGTACATCCCACACTTGACAGCTGTCCCTGCCACAGCGCTGCCCTGTTCTGCCTTGCCCCACTAAATTAGTTTCAAGGGAAAGACCATTTACTTCATTTAAGCTGTACTATCTTTATTCTAACTAGAATTCTAAATAGAATTCATGCATCAAATATATTGGGCTCTAGCACAGAGTGAGCGTTGGCGTTGGCAGAGAAGACTAAAGCCAGAGTGGTGAAAAGACAATAAAATTAGGCAAAAGTTCTGGCCATAGACTCACAGGTATGGCGAGCTGGTTGAATTTCTCAAAGGCAATGAAAATATGTGACTGCGGTTGTGCACACACTTCCGGGATACGATTACCATAGATTGGGAAACAGTGTTACACAATTTGGGTCTAAATTTGGGCCATGTGATAGTTTCAGCAGTAGTGGGTTTCTAGGGGGATTTGGGGGCAGTTTTGTTTCTATTTTGGGTCAGGATATAGACGTTAGGAAGCTTTTCAAGAGATACATCCTTTTTACAAAAACGAAATGAATGTCTCGGGGTTTTATTTTACTTAGAGGAAGTTCCACTGTTGCTACTCCTTTTTTTCTTTTCAGACCTCTCATTTGGCTATTTACAGCTATTTAAATGCAGGGTTCTGTTTTATAAATAGAGCAGTGAATCTCTCTCCTCTGTATGATTCATCACTTGCTTATAGCTTAGTACATCCCAACTCCCCATAGATCTCAGGGGTTGAAGTGGACAGGCGATCCTGGTCTTCTCAGAGAAGAAAGGCTGAGTGGCAAAGGCTGCAATGCAGAAAGTGTTTCATGGAGTCATATTGTGCCATTGCATGGCATCATCCTGATTTCAAGGAGGTAGCCCTGAGGTCTTGAGGAAAGAAAGACTCTGAAGGCAGAGAAATGTGCATTGTGAAGAAAATTGACGCATACTTAGACTATAGCCTGGGTATCCTACAAAATGAAAAGATTTTGATGGGATCACAGTAGGCAGACAAAAAAAAAAGAAACAGAATTTAGAAGCAGGAAAATGGAAGAGAGAAAACTAGCTCACCAAGAACAACTTTTACTTTTAAGGTTCATATCGGGATATGCGTAGTAGCCAGAAAGAAAAGGAGAAGCCTGCTTTATTGGCTGGCAGAAAGAGGGATGCTATAGGTAGCAATATTTCTGCCACTGGTAAAGTCAGCTTGCTCTCTGTGCTTTTCCCACAGCCAGACAGTGGGTTCTTCTGTGAGGAGAATTCCAGTGATGATGATGTGATTCTGAAGGAAGAATTCAGAGGGGTCATTATCAAGCAGGGATGTTTACTGAAGCAGGTGAGTGCTAATCACCATTTCCTCTTAGCCCCCTTCCCTTACCAATATCCTTTGTTTCTCTCCTAACTTACCAAATGGCAATTTATTTGGCCAATAACCAACCAGAAGTGAAACTCACAGACTGAAAGACATCAGAGCTAAGCCATGAAGATAGCACTTGGTTAAGAGGACCAAAGCAGACAGAGCAGAAACAGGAGTAGGGAAGTATCTCTTGTATCAATATCAATATCATAGGAGAAAATGATGTTTTAAGAAAGTATTGCCCTATTCACGAACAGGATGAAATAAATTAAGTAAGAGGGGGCCATCCAAAAGACAAAGAAATTTCATGGCAAAGTACTGCCCTTTTGCTTGTCTTCAACACCATTAGGAGGCAGGAACCTCTTTTACCTTTGCGATCAAAGAGGCGCCATTCCAGACTCTGGGGTAAGGACTGGTTGACAACCCAAACCAGGGCATGCCTCCATAGGAACCAAAACCCAAGCTGAAGATGTTAGACACAGTCCTAGGGGAAGTGGTGTGTAATTTTCCAGTGTTCACAGGTATGACCAGTCAGTCTGGGGGATAAGGTGTGGGGGAAAATGAAGAGCTCTAGTTGGTTCCCTGGTGCCAGGACACATGGGCAAGGGGTGAGAAATGACAAGGGCTGGCAACAGATGGGGAAGCCAGAGCAAGAAGACAGGAGAATATTCTAGGTAAGATAAGTCGCACAAAGCGTCATGGAAGCTGAGGTTGTTTCAGAGGATCGGCCTCTTTCCTTCCCAGCTGTGAAGTGCTGTGTACACTTTGTAGGTTTCATGGACTGGGATTTAACTTGCTTCTTATCTCAGTGGCCTGTGGAACTATGATCCTCCCAATCTATGCCTCCCAAGTAGCGAGGATTACAGGTGTCAGTCACTGTGCAGGGTTTAGTATCAAGTTTTAAGAGAAGAGAGTCCTAAGACAGACAGAGAAAGCTTTAGAAAGAACTCTAGTGTTTGTGACAGAGTAACCAGCTGTCTAGAGTAAAGCAAAGGCACAGGGGTCAGGGCTACCAAAAAGGTCCCCTTATACAAGGAAGGTCTATCTTCTTTCTCTTTGTTTCTGCTAAGGTTAGAGTGTAAAGACAAGAGAAACATGGGAAGGACTTACATCATCTTCTTATTACATTGATTCCTTCTATATATTGCTACCATTTCTTAAATTAGTTGGACAACTTCTAATCTTTGTGTGTGTGGGGGGTGGGGCTTGAATCTAGGGCCTCCTTCATGCTAAGCTAGTACTCTACCACAGGGCTTTATTCCTCTGCCCTAATTTTGAGAAGAGCTCTTAAAAACTGAGCTAGATTTGACTATAGCTTTGTCTGGGGAAAATACACAATAGGAGGCCTGGGATGGTGAAACCTGGATGAAGGAAGGGAACCTGAGTGTGTGTTGGAGATAAGGGGACCCGAAGCAAATGGCACTTGGTGCTTTCCTTTGCTTTCCTTCACCATAGCTGAGATAGATACCAGTTACCTTAGCCAGCCCAGGTAGTGCACATTGAATTCCCTGGAGAACGGTTAGGCAATTAGAGTCTCTGGATTTTTTTTTCTGTGTATGTGGTACTGAGGAATCGAACCCAGGGCTTCATGCATGCAAGACAAGCACTCTACCACTGAACCACCTTCCTAGCCCCTTCTCTAGTTTTTTTTTTTAAAGCTCATAAGTGATTTTCACATGCAGGCAGGCTAAGCTAAGAAGCACTGACTAAGAAGCACCTTTTTACTTAAAAGCTAATGTAGGAAATGGCGCTGTGGCTCAAGCGGTAGAGCATTTGCGTTGAGCTGAAGAGCTCAGGGACAGCACCCAAGCTCAGAGTTCAAGCCTCATGACTGACAAAAAAAAAAAGCTAATGAAATGCCTTCTTCATAAACTTTCTTTTACCTAAAGAAAACACGAACTGTGTAAATTAAGGGGTTTGGTCTTCTTTTTACATGTTCACTTTCTAGTATCATTATTATGATTATCAGTTGGTGGAGATTTGAATTCAAATTACTTGAATTCATCTTTCATGTTTCGAATCTCTTAGTTAATCACAGTTCCTGTCAGAATCACTTGAAGGAATTCAAAATTTCTCTTTAAATTTTACCTAGAGTAAATTACCCTTCTAGATTTTGCTGGGAGCCAGCCAGGGGTTACCTGTGTAGAAGAATCATGACAAAGGGCACTTGTGTCACATTCTCCATAAATGTCAAGTCGCTGTGTCCAGCAAAGAGCTGTCCCCAATTGGGCACCAGTGTCTCAAACCTGCAATCCTAGGTATTTAGGAAGCTGATATATCTGAGGATTGCAGTTTGAAGCCTGCCTGGGCAGGGAAGTACAACTGACCCCCAGAAAACTGGAAGTGGAACTGTAGCTCAAAGTGATAGATTGCTAGAGTGCTAGCCTTGAGTGAAAAGGCTCAGGCATAGTGCATAGGCCCGAAGGTCAAGCCCCATGACTGACAAAAAAAAGGAACTGTCTCCCCTCCCTTCCATTATTTCTAGTAGATTCAGAGAAACAACCCCACCTGGGAAATGAAACAAGCTGTAGAATAGCAGAACCCCGTTTTATATAATTGCTTCTGCTATACTAAAATGGCTAGTGTTTGATTCCTAAGCACAAATATTCCTTGGGGAGAAGGGCCCTGTGTTAGTTACATAAGCTTTTCTTGAGCCTGGTGCAGAGTTGAGCACTTTTCTTGGTGGATGACAGGCAGTAAACACTTGTGAAATGCATGATATTGAATCTAAGTAGATGACTTGGACAACACAGCAACGGTCCTTGGAAATCCCAGGCATGCATATATATATTTTTTCCCAAAATCCTTTAGGGAATACTCCTTGAATGAAAGGTGACCAGACACCCACTGGCGTCAAACCCTTCAGTGAGCCACACTGCAATGTCTGGCAATGCTTCTAGGGAACTCAGTAACTGCCAGAGCTGGCTGATTTTGTATCTTTCTTGTTACCTTCCTTTTCCTGCCACTCATGATCACTTGGTGGCTACCCAGCAATTGCTCAAGAGAGCATGACAGCTGTGTCTGCAAAGAGGAAAGGGTGTGGGTGGCCACCTCAGTGCTGGTAACCTTATGGGCAAGATTAGTTAAGTAGAAAAAGTAGAAAAATCCCCACTTTGAAAAGCTGCTACATTGCAAAAGGCATTTTGGAGATGATATAGCCAAGAGAAATATTTTCTGACCTTCCATGTAACTTTCTAGAGTTCTTGATTACGTCATTCAGGCAAGTAAAAACATTGTGATTTATTTATTTATTCAATTGTGTTGTTGGACCAAATGCTTGCCATTCTTAAAAGCTCTCTGGAAATTTTCTTTCCCCTGGATTGATGACCCTGTTTGCTAGAACCAGAAGTCATTCTCTCTTTTTCTCCCCCCACACATAAGAAAATGAAAAATGTCAAAAAAATCAGCTATTTTCTTTTCCAATATGTGGTGTTCTGAAAATTACACAATCGTCTTCTTTATATTGACAAGATAGAAATAATTTTATCTTCTAATCTAGTACTTTTTTGCCTTTGGAAGTTAGTTAAATGATTTGAATTATATGTGGGAAATCAAGGCTCATTATGGCACTTTAAATGCTGCTGTGAACTGAACATGGTGGCACACAATTACAATCTCAGTTCTCAGTAGGAGAGGCAGATAGGCTCCAGACCTGACCCAGATTGTATATAGTACATTTCAGGCCTGCCCAGGATTCATAGCCAGACTCTGTCTGAAAAACAAAAACAAAACAATAAATAATAAAATAAAATAAAACTTTTTTGTAAGATAGCTGAAACAATTACATAATTAGTGTCAATTACAAACAAATAGGAATCAGCTTCTTTCTGTGTGTCAGGCACTGTGCTGGGCACTGGAGAACAGAAATGTCAGACAAATCCTGCCCTTATAACCCAGACTAGTTGATGTTAATGCCTAATTCTACCAAGAAACTCCAAACCCTGTTCTATATTCATTGTGTCTGGTATAGCCAAATTCATTTCCATTTCTACTGATGATACCTAGAGTTCCTAATAATGTTATGTTCAGATTATTGCAATATCCCTAATGACATGCAAATATATATATATAAAATCTTCTACACAGCTAGAACCTTCTCCATCTTGTCACCAAATTAATTTTCCTAAAATGCCATTGTGGTCTCACTTCTTACTCAAAAGCCATCATGCATACCCCCTAGCTTTTATTTTTACTCAGGCCTATTTGCTCCCTGTTCACTCTGCATTCCAGGAAGACTGGTCTTGTTCATCACTGTCTGTTTGTGCCTGTGAATTTCCACCTTGGCCTTCCCACAGAAGTCTAGGTCCTCAGGAGGCTTTGACAACCCAAGGCTATATTACATACGACTCTACTTCCTTTGAAACCTGTTATGTATAATGACTGTTTGATTTGGGCTTTGCTATTTTGTTTTCCACATAGGCCATTAACCACATCTTATAACACTTTTCTGCTTTGTGTTGCCTAACATAACACATAGTACATAGCACTGTTTTGCTGCACTAAAAGACAAGCTTAAAAATAATTTAAAGTCATCCATATAAATTAACAACCTCCAATTTAGCACTGGGTGGCCTCACTGCTAGCTCCCTGAGAAAGATCTGGGTCAGGGTCTGGTTTTCCTGGAGTCAGTTTTTCTCTATTTGTCTTGTTTCCTTCCTTGTTCTCCTCCTCCTCCTCCTCCTCCTCCCCTCCTCCTCCTCTCCTCCTCCTCCTCTCTTCTTCTTCTTCTTCTTCTTCTTCTTCTTCTTCTTCTTCTTCTTCTTCTTCTTCTTCTTCTTCTTCTTCTTCTTCTTCTTCTTCTTCCTGTTCCTCCTTCTCCCCTTCCTCCCCTTCCTTCCTTCCTTCCTTCCCCTTCCCCCTCCTCCTTCTCCTTCTTCTCCCCTTCCCCCTCCTCCTCCTTCTCCTTCTCCTTCTTCCCTTCCCCTTCCTCCTCCTCCTTCTTCTCCCTCCTCCTCCTTCCTCCTCCTCCCTTTCTTCCATTCCTTCTCCTCCTCCTCCTCCTCCTCCTCGTCATCATCGTCATCATCATCTTCATTGTCATCGTCCTACTAGTCCTCCTCCTCATCTATTTCTCTTTTGTGGGGAAGGGTCTCTGGGAGCAGTTCATCTGGGCACAGTGTGGACAGAGTGAGGCAGGAAACTGACCATTTCTTTTTGTGTATTGCACTTGGATGCAGGGGCACAGGAGGAAAAACTGGAAGGTGAGGAAGTTCATTCTGAGAGAAGACCCAGCCTACCTGCACTATTATGACCCTGCTGGGGTAAGACTCCATGGCCCAGAAATTCATTCAAACAGCAGCTTCCACTGCAAGTCCGAGCAGGGTTTCCCAGCCCCCTCAATGGAAGCTCTGTTGAGATTTCCATTTCTTCACCTATTTGCTTCTTTTCTCTCCATCCTCCTTTCCCTTTCCCTACCCACCTCTCTCCACGCAAAGATTAAAATTCTTGGGGTTTTGAGACCATAGAAGCTCAGAGACAGAAGAAAATACCGCATTATAAAATGTATTCTGTTAACACAACACAATTTTTGGGTCTTCCCCAATCTGATATTTTCAAAAATAGTCAATCAGTCCCAATTCATGGTTTAATATTAAAAAAGCAACAATTCTATCAGATCAAGTTGGATGAGTGAATGAAATCCAGAAATTTGGGCTGATGGTTGTTGGAGGTTTATCCTCAGCAAAAGAAGTCAGCTGAGTCATGAAATCGCTCTGCCAGGGCTGGGTCCTTGCCCCCACTTGTAGTGCAGGACTCTTCACTTTGCTCCTGAGAGGCTATAATACTTTGTCTGCTCATAATACTTAGACAGTTCTTCCTCAGTAGGACATGGCATCCTCAGTCTGCCTATATCCTCTGCCACTTTGCTCCATGTTTGAGGCCCAGATTGGCTTGCTTCTTTTATGTAGTCTCCCTGGGCCCATTGTGGTGGAAGGTGGAGAATCTTCCTTTATATTTGTGCTTTTATTTTAGGAACCTCTAGGAGAAAGTCTGTGTAGCAGTGTCGCCAACAGGATGGGATACTTTGATAAAATAATAGACCACCTCTTTCTCTTTTAGGGGGAAGACCCTCTGGGAGCAGTTCACCTGAGAGGCTGTGTAGTGACATCTGTGGAGAGCAGCCCAGATGGTAAGAATGAACTTCTGTGGGAAAGGTGTGGCAATTCCCTTCCCATACCTGTGTACCCCAGGGCACCAACTAACTAACCAACCAACCAAGCAACTGATCAATTAATAAATCAGTCAGGCATAAGCACCTGTGACTTCATTGTCTGTAAACCTTGGAGGGATGGAGTTGTTCTTTTTCAATAGCTGCCTCTTCCTTTCAGGCCTTGTAGAATTGGAGTAGCTTTGCAGATGACTTGATGAATGCCCTGGGCTAAGCTGGGAGAATCCATCACTTCATTACTGGTTTTGATGAGAGCTTAGTAGCTCCTGACACCATAACATTCCTTAAAGGAGATTTCACTTATCCATTCCAGGGCAAAGAGCAAGTGCACAGTACCCTGAGTAGAAAGAATTTCTGGGTGTGGTTAGGTACTGTCAGCCCCCATGCCTCTTGGGTAGATCCTCCCTGGGAAAAAAAGGGGCCACATTAGAAGACTTCTGAGCCGTTTGGGTCACAAGCCTATGATTGACACAAGGAATAACCAGATGACTGTAGAAATGATCCTTCAGATGTGTAGACACTTGGAGCCACTGGGAAATATGGTTTTGATAGTCCACTCCTGGGTTTACTTGTGTCATTTAGGGTTTATGGGGTTATAGAGATAGGTGCAAATGTCCAGATTTTCAACAGCCCTGGGTCTGCTCACAACTTGTCTTTAGGATGATGCATTTGTATAGGAAGTGTGCTGCATTTTGATTTGGGATATTTTAAGTTTTGTCACAGCACTGGCCAATTGATTTCCCTTTTCATAGTATGGGTCAGTTTATTTCCTTTTTATTGCTCAGTAAATGTTGAATTTAGCTCTTGACAAACACCCAATTCAGACTATAGTTACAGTTTGGTGGTAAATCTCATTTTTCTTATGTGTGTAGGTGAATATATACATAAATATGATAATATACACAATATATGTTTTAAGGTCAGCCTTGGTTTATGTTATAAGCAGAAGAAAGGGATGTGTTAAAACTACTGGAAGTTACTCATTGAAACTGGGTATGGTAGTTATGGCCTATAAGATAAACACTCAGGATGCAAAGGCCAGAGGATGGAGAATTCAAGGTCAGCCTGATGTACATAGTAAAATCTTGTGTCTGAAAAGCAAATGGAGATAATAAAAATCAACAACCCCTCCAGAAGATATTAAATACAAAGGCGAGAAGCTGAATTTATTTATTATAAACTATAAAATATCTACTTGTTATAATAAACTAGGTTTAAAAATAAAACATTTCACAAAAGCTGTCTTTTGAAAAGACTTACGGAAGCCAAGAGTCATGGATAGTCTTTCTCAGGCTCTGAAGCCACTTAGAGCAGAAAGAAAACATTTCTCCTTGAATATTTTACTTATTTTTAAGAAATTAGTAAAATAAACACATATGATCATTCCATGGACCTTCCTGTATGAACATCATGTATGTATTTATACAATCAATATCCATAATTGCACAATGATTGTATGTTTGAAAACCACACCTTTTCCTGAGACATCAAGAAAAACCCACACAGTTCATGGCTTGCAGAAGCTGGATGGGCCAAGGAGGCCTGGTAGGTCACTCCTGGTGCTCTTGTCACTGCCATTTGCTTTCTTTTACCCCAGGCAAGAAGAGTGATGAGGAGAACCTTTTCGAGATCATCACAGCTGATGAAGTCCATTACTTCTTGCAAGCAGCCACCCCCAAAGAGCGCACTGAGTGGATCAAAGCCATCCAGGCAGCCTCGAGGACTGGGAAGTGAGAATACACCTGCAGGTCCTCAGCCCTTCCTGAGAAAAGTCCACAAATTCGCTCCAGTCCAGGACCTATCCCCTTCGGAGACAATTCAACTGGAAAGGGCCTAGGGGAGGGAAGTTTTTGCCCGAATTTAACTGTGTGCCACATGATATTTACCTGCACCGCCTCGCTCACAACAGCCACTCTGCCCCACCCCATGTCCCCAAGCTTTATTAACGAGCTATGTGACTTGAGTAGGCTACTTAACCTTTTCAGACTTCTGAAAGAGAACTCAGAGATCTCTGAGGTCCTCCATAGCTTAAAAACTAAAAACCAAAAAGACAAAGAACAACAAACAAGCATAAAAATGCCCTGGGTCTCTAATTGTCTTGCTGTGCCCTTCCTCAGTAAAGCTTGGGCCTTCATCTAGCTCAGAACGAGAGACAGTCCCTTCCCTTGGAACTGCTGTCAATTGTCTCCAGAGCACTCAGACAAAACCTTTTCAAGACACCTTAAACTTGCTCTTAGCCATGAGATGAAGGGATGATATGCACTCTTTTTCCTCCTACCTATCCAGACACTTTGGAGAGCAGAGGGGGCTTATGGCTTTTAGCCTTAAGCCTCCTATGACTTTTTACAGCCTTGGGATTCAATGTCTTCTAAGAAAATACTTGAGGAAGATAGGCATCAATGAGGGTCATTTTCAGGCTTGGAAGCTACCTAGACCTTTTCACTCCCTTTGAAGTTGAATCTGTGAGGAGCCTCTGTTGTTCCTTTCTGAAATATTTCTCCACCATTTAACATACTTAGGATGGGAGCAAGTTTCTCATGAGCTTTGCAGGGGGAAAAAAGACCACATGGGTTTCTGCATGCATGAAGGGCCTGGGCAGCTGCCTGTCTATGTGTCCTCCAGCTGCCCAGGCCTGCTGGGTGGATGCTGGCTTTATACCATGTCAGCAGTGAACAGCCTCAAATCTACACAACTCTGGTGGTGGCAGCTTGGGCTTTGAGGGTTTTTTGGCCTGGTTATTAGCTAGAGTAATCTGACCTAGATCAAAATGGTAACATGGGTGTAATTTTTCAACATGATAACTAGCAATTCCTATCAAAAATTCACATATTCACAGAACCAGGTATATGTGCAAAGTCACAGTTTTCAAACTCATTGATTTTACGGCCTCAGAAAGAAAAAAAATGGAGGAGAACCCATTCCTGGTTTTATTAGCTTTTGTTCTTGAGTTCCCTCAGTTCTTCTGTATTATTAATGAGCCAGTTGCTATTCTAAGTTGTTGTTGTTGTTGTTTTTTATCAATGGCCAGAGGTAAAGGAGCACCTTTTCCTTTGATTCTTTAGTTCATCATCTTCATGAAATATGCACACTAGTTTTCTACATTCAGTGTTAAAAGTATTTATTGATATGGAATCAATCTGTATTTTAAAATAAATATAACTTAGTTTTTAGTGTCTTTTTTGGTGTAATGACTCTATTTTGCCTCTCACTAATGACTTCTTTTCTACAGCTCTCTTTCATCTACTGAGTATAATAATGGTATCTTTCATCTCTCATATCATTTCAATGACTGTAATTTTCTTTAAACAGTCAATCTCTATTCTAAGGAATAATAAAAATGTACTGAAAGTCAAAACAAGGTTTAGGAAATAGGAAAATATAAGGATACCTTGTATCTTTCTCTTGTATCTGTTGTATCTTATATCTCTTGTATCTGTTTTTCTTTTGTGATTTTTTTAAAAACATATATCACCTTGATTACAGTGTTCAGATGAGGATGTTAAGGATACAGTAAACTATTTACACTGAAGGAAATAAAGATTCCTACTGACGGGCTCTAATGATTGAGCAGACTGTGTACTGGTTAACTCCATTGCAATCAAGAAGATTGTTGTCCCTGGGGATTGCATCACACAATTGTACATTTGTATCCCGAGCCTGGTGAACATCCAAGGCATCATTAAGGCTTTCTAGCTTGGACAATTGGTTGGGAAGAAGGTCTCTGATGGCAAACTGACTTTTAGACATAGATGCTTTACTTGACCTTTTTTTGGTTTAGAAATCAAACTCAGGCTCTAATAGGCATAGTTACAGGCTAATCCACAATGAGTCTGAGTCACAATGTGACAGACACGGGGATGTGGATGGAGAGACAAAACTGTCCATTCTATCTGAAGAGCATGTGAGGCTGGAAAGAGTGGTTAGCTTTTACTGAGGGCTCCAACTTAGAGTGGGAGGAAAACAGATAGTTTAATGATTGATTGTAGAGGCATCAGGGTGTAAATGTCCCCTTCCACTATGTGGCTGATAAATCAGAAAAATATTCAATCTGAAAAAAGAAATCTACCATGCTTTGGGGGCTAATACAGAAGGAGATGTGTTAGTTGAGAACTTTACACACAAGTATTACGAGTATTGAATACAGTACTGATCTGAAGAAGGTACATTTCTCTTATGGAAATCTGGAGACATACACACAGTAATGGTTAAATTCTACCACAGGAATGGCTTTCATAAGTCAAATGAGGAACTTTCTTAGTTGATGACAACAACTGCCTCTCAGTGCTGGTTGTTCATCATTAAAGCGATAAACAAGGCTCCGGTTTCATCATTTGTTTTGGATTTTGTGTGCAGCCTGATGTATACCCTCTTCCTCCTTAGGGTAAAAAGGAAATCCCGAATGTAATTGTTAAATATTTCAGGTTTATTTTGTCTTCTGCTTTAGACAAAATGTTTCAAAACTGTGTGTGGGGGTGGAGATGTGATAAAAAGTTGTAAAGGGCAGTGGAAGGAGGAAGGTATGAGGAAGTCGTTTTTTTTTTTTAAGTCAAAAGTTGCTTAAGAAAATAAACAGTGTGAAATTATCATCTTTGTTTTTGGCCCATTTTCAGAACAAAGGGAAGTGAAAATTTGGATGTCATCATTAGAGAGAAAGGGAAAGGGGTGAAGAAAGCCCAGCATTTATAAAACCATGGGTGTACTATTCTTATTCTGAGCGGTGGTGAGTTCAAAGAGAGAGCACACATAAGTGTTTGTGGGAAGGACTTGTGATATGGTGGCAGGTGCAGCGGTCCCGAAGTCTGGGATCTGGGTTCACATCCTGTTTGTGACCTCCTAAATTTGCAATGTCACTGAGTATCAGCTTCAGTCTTAGTCAGCTTTCTGTTGCTGTAACAAATGCTCGAGACAGCCAATTTATAGAGAGAAAAGGTCTATTTTGACTCACAGTTTTAGAGGTCTTAATCCATGTACATGAGCCTCTTTTAGTTTGGGGCCTAGAATGAGCTAGCACATAATAGCAAGTAGCATGTGGCAGAGAAAAATCTGTCATTGCATGGCCAAGATGTGGCAGAGAAAGGAAAAGGCAAAGACTCTTCAAGGGATGTTCTATTGACTGGAAGACTGCATTCGAACTTACCTTTTGTATTTTGTTGATTGTGGGGTTTGAACTCTGGGCCTGGGCGCTGTCCCGAGCTCTTCAGCCCAAGGGGAGCACTCTGCCACTTGAGCCACAGCGCCACTTCCTCAACCCTATCTTGTATGCTTCAGCCCAAGGGGAGCACTCTACCACTTGAGCCACAGTGTCACTTCCTCAACCCTATCTTGTATGCTTCCGTCATCTCCCAATAGAGCCACACTGGAGAACAAGACTGACACATGACAGGTCTTTGGAGAACATTCCAGACCTAAACTATAGCAGCTTCTTTGTTGCTAACATGAAAACAAGGACATTGTTATTAGGAATAAATGAAACACTACCTATGTATCATCTGGCATGGGTGTACTCAAGAAACCCTAGTTTCCTTTCCTCTGACTCCTCTGCATCAAAGGCCCTCATAGTATTCTAGGCTCCTCAGCAGTGGTTTTCAACCTTTGGTCTGGCAGAATTGGTAATTCTCACAGTGAATATGTGCCCAAGACCTAAATTCAGGGATCCTGATAGCTTAAGTATGCAGCTAGGCCTGTTTAATTTCCCTGATAACTTAAATAGATGGACAATATTTTAATTAACATTAATGTTAAAAAACCAGCAATAAATTGCTTGACTGGCCACTACTTACAACATAGACATTTATACAATCACAAAGGGCTTTTCTCAAACTGGCCTTAGCCTCCTTTTCAAAAGGGATTTCTAGCCAGGCGCCGGTGGCTCACGCCTGTAATCCTAGCTACTCAGGAGGCTGAGAGCTGAGGATTGTGGTTCAAAGCCAGCCTGGGCAAGAAAACCTGTAAGACTCTTATCTCCAATTAACCACCAGAAAACCGGAAGTGGCACTGTGGCTCAAGTGGGAGGGCACTCGCCTTGAGCTGAAGAGTGCAGGGACAGCGCCCAGGCCCAGAGTTCAAGCCCCATGACCAACCAAAAAAAAAAAAAAGGGATTTCTCCTTTGCTCCAGTCATCCTGGCCCCTGGGTGGTCTGTGGGAGGAAGATCATGCTTCTGAGCTTTGTCTCACCTCCTTGACCCTACAGCCTAGAGCTCTCTCTACTTTAGAGCTCTCTCATTCTTAGTTGTCCTTTGAGCACCAACTAAGGCCCTGCCTTCTGATCCATTCCCCTAATTATCCTCTTTACCATTTTTGCCAGTCCTGGGGTTTGAACTCGTGGCCTGGGCACTGTCCCTGAGCTGCTGCTTCTTCTTTTTTCTGTTGGTCATGGGGCTTGAACACTGGGCTTGGGCACTATCCCTCAGCTCTTCAGCTCAAAGTGAGTGCTCTACTGCTTGAGCCACAGCACCACTTCTGGTTTTCTAGTGGTTTATTGGAGATAAGAGTCTCACGGACTTTCCTGCCCAGGCTGGTTTTGAACTGTGATCCTCAGATCTCAGCCTCCTGAGTAGCTAGGATTATAGGCGAGAGTCACTAGCACCTGGCTTCCCTGAACTTCTTTTGCTCAAGGCTAGCACTCTACCACTCGAACCACCGCACCATTTCTGGCCTTTTCTGTTTATGTGGTACTGAGGAATTGAACCCAGGGCTTCATACATGCTAGGCAAGCACTCTACCACTAAGCCACATTCCCAGCCCTTCTTTACCATTTTTGTGCACTTGACATTTAGGTAAACATACAAATTAGCTGGCATCATCCACCACAATTTGTTTTAGAGTTGAGTTTGGAAAAGTGTCCATGATTCCTAACAGCTTAGTTAGTACTTGTGAATAGCAAGCACTCTATAAATAGCTGTTGAAATAAGGTCATTACTATGTACAGTAAGGAGACTTTATAATAATTATGCTAACATTATTATTATAAGTAGTTGTACAAGAAAGTATTTCAAATCAACATGTCAGCTTAGTACAATGCCATCCCTTCCATCTTTCTCCCCATTTCTTCCAAACCTACCATTCCCTCAGGCTACCTGGTTCCATTTTCACATATGTATGCTGGATATAATGATTGTATTCATCCACCCTTTCTTTCTTCATTGGTCTGCCTTTGCCTCCCCGTGACCTCACTCCCCTTACAGCCTATGTTCTAGCTTCCTAGCATTCATTTTGCTAAACTGTTAGTTGTTAAAAGAGTTACACTATTGTATGCTTCCCCTGTAATCTAGCCCACAATTGCGCCACCCTCTCTGAGACTACCATCCTCTGGACTTCTCAGCTGGGGCTCTAAGGGAGAAATAGGGGACTACACGGTTGCCATGGCGATCTCTGAGGCGCTAGGAAGACTGACAGGTCAACCGGGGGACCTGGGTACATGAGTCACCCTGTGCCAGGACTGCCCGGCTGGGGCTAAACCACAGAATCCACCCAGCGCAGCCTACAGGCTGGCCTGGGCAGAGGGTTTGGATTGGGGGTGAGGATGGGGGGCATGAATCGATTCCACCATGGCTGCAATCACGCTGGATGGAATGCTTCCTTTAGGTCCTTTATGGAAGCCATTTTTCCTCAAAGTGATCCACTTCCCGTGTAAGAGTGCCTGCCTTTGGTGGGATTCTGCCCCCTGCGCGGACACACGAACAATTCCACTGGTCCAAGAGCTTCCCCACTCCTGGCTCATCATCCAAACAACACTGTAAGACCTTAGTAATAAGCTTATAAGTCACAACAAACTATACAATACTTTAAACATATCTATGTGTGTATGTGTATGACCATGCATATGTTTTCATATATGTTTATAAGTTATAGCTAACTTTACATATGAGAGAAAAAAACATGGGCCCTTTGTCTCTCTAAGTCTGGCTTACTTCACTTAACATATTTTTTTCTAGGTCTATTTCCATGCAAATGACATAATATTTTTCTTCCTGATGGATGAGTAAAATTCCACTATATGTATATATGTATAATACACTTAAATTATATAAATAGCTATAATTATGTATAATTTATAGATATAAATTGTATTTAATATATTTATATACCTGTTTTTATGTGCAATATATCACGTTTTCTTGATCCACACATCCATTGTAGGGCATCTGGGCTGTTTTAAGGACACTTCTTATATACTGACTAGTTTGGGAGATCGCTGAAGTTTTAGAGCAAGCTCTATGTCTGCTACCTTCTGTTTAATTTCTTTGCAGATTAGAACGCAGTTAATGTTCATAACAACCAGGGGATTTGCATCATATTATTCCCATCTTGCAGATGAGGAAATTGACACCAAGAGGAAGCCCAGGGATCACGGTGTGGAGTTGTCACAATTGTGTTCTCGCCATGTTTGTCTGGTCCCACCTTCATGCCCTTACCCCTCTTGCCAAACTTCCCCTTCACACTATCAGAGCTTATTGAAGCCAACGTGTGAAGTCAGCTGGAGCTGACTACAAATGCCAAGAGCTTTGCTACACAGCATACAAGTTTCTTGTATTTAATCTGTACAACAATCATGAGAGGAAGCATTATCTCCATTTCACAAATAAAGAAAATGAAGTGAATCAAGTTAACCAAGATCCTAGGCACTAGTATACTAGTGCACTAGTTGAGGGAGATTCAAAGCTTGGTGTACCTGGCATCTGAGTCCATCCACTTCAGAACTCTGCCCTAACACAAATGTACTTGGTTCTTACCACTTTTTAATCCTTGTCAAGATGCCATGGTAACTCTGACTGTGTCCACTATTGTGTTTTATCAGCTGCAGCAACATTTCCTGATAGGTCAGAGCTAGCCTGAATACTGGGGTCAAGGCTTTGTATTTTTCTCTTAAAGAGAAACCTCTGTGGTCAGATATAGAAAGGCAAGTAGCTGGGCCCTACTGATACTGGTTTTGAGGCTTCTGGGCAGAGCATGGTGTTGAAATCATTTTCCTGAACTGATGTATATCTGTACACACGCACACACACATACATACACTCATATTCAGACATGCACATACAATTACACACACATTCAGGCGTACACATGCATGTCACACACAAATATGCTCAGACACATATACACATATGCTTGTGGACTTGTGTATATTCTTAGAACTTTTTGTGCATACTGATATGAGGTTGGAACTCAGGGTTTTGCTCTCTCAGTTGACATTTTTGCCCAACACTGGCACTCTACCATTTGAGTCACACCTCCATTTCCAGCTGATTGCTGGTTAATTGGAGCTAAGAGTCTTACAGAATTTCCTGGATTCAACAGTGATTCTCAGATCTCAGTCTCCTGAGTAGCTCAAATTACAGGCATGAGCTACCAGCACCCAGCAACTTACTTAACAT